TAAACTAACCTTGAGAAACATAATATAAAAATGATCTGTGATGGGTGTGATATGTAATGGCTTATGCACAGATGGTCAAAGATCATTCTCTTTATAATCGCTGGAGCAGCACGAGTTTATCATTAATTTGATTACTGCATTTTCACCAAAACTCCCATTATTATCAACGACTCAGTTTACTCTCTTATTTGCAATGTGTTTTCACTGTGTTATTTATGATTAAAATATTCGTGAGAGTGCAGAAATCATATTGCATTAAGGAGAAAATTGTGAGCATAATGTGCTCAGTAGACATGTTCGGCTACAGTGCAGCTCTGCAACCTTTGATACAACAGAAGTAGCTCTAAATATAATGCTGTAATCCACACTTTTCACGATTATCATCTTGATGGCTGTTATAGTAAAAATACAGTAAAGTTTTTGAGAGAGTTCCATATGTAATGCTCATTTCATATGCAAAGATGTTAGCCAATCAAGGCAGTGGGGGCGTTTGCATTGTGTCACAGCAGACACGCCCCTTTTCACAGAGCGTTCAAATCAGAAGCTAAATTCAGGGTAGAAATGACCATTTATACCTAAATTATAACCGTTTTTGATTTTTTTTTAAATCCTAAAATTGTAAGTATATGCACCTCAGGAAACATTACAAAATAATTTTAAAAATGTATTTCATGACCCCTTTAAAAGTACAGGCAGGTTTGTTAGAGTTGGTTGGAATTAAACTCTCCAGGACCGGGGTTCAAGATTCCTGCTTTGAAAGGCTAGAGCACTCAACACTGTGAAAAACAAAAATGAAAAATACAGAAAAATGAACCATTCTCTGGGCTTAACTCAGGAGTCAATGGGCCTGTTTACACTCACTGCTGAGAGATGAGGCCATACAATTCCCGCTACTTTTTAAGACTGAGAATCAGATGAAAAATTAGCTAGTGGGATAGTTATCCGATATCAAAATGTTGGTTTAGAGAGAAGTCTAAGCCATATTTTTTCTGCATTGGTCTGCGGGCAGAGAGTGTTTCACATTTAATCTCAAAATGAAAGTGTTCACACAGTGTGAAGATGCAGCTCAAAAGATGTGGCTCATAATGAAGTGTTTTGGGTGGCTCAGTTCACAGTAAACACTTTGCAGGTGCTCCGAGTTTGGATTGCTTTTAAAGTGCGACAACTTAATTCATTTCAAACATTTTGTGGACAAAAAGATATAGCATTTTAACCAGTTTTGTAATGAGAAGCAGTTTTCTGCCAAAATGTGTAAAAGCTTGTAGCTTAAAATCTCAAAATTCATCCTGTGAAAACCATTTTGAAACCAGACATTGCGTTACCATAGAAATGGTACTTCAAAATCTTTTAGCCGTCTCCTCCCCCTTAGCGGGGGTATCATATTACAAAATGTATTACAGTCTTTTAGACTCAAAACTTTTTATAATCTTGACAAAATACATATCGTTGGAAAGGTCTGAGTCTGAGTGATAGATAGTTTGGATGGCACCCGGTGGCTTTTTTAGGTATAATGCCTAAACAAAATAGCATATGAACCTAATTTTTTTTAATATCAACTTCAAATTTGGAACACAACTTATGTAGACATATGGCATTAATTTTATAGCAATTTTGTATGTATAACTATTTTTTTAAATATTTATTTTATATAAAATAAAATAAAAATAGTACAATACATTTTCTTTACAGTAAATTAAAACTTCTATAACTTTGTAATACTTTCATTTTATTAAATGAATAATATGAAATAATTCAGTGAAATAATTCACTTCTGTAATAATCTGCTAATTGTAGTCTTTAAAAAGAGACCAACCGTAGGTCTGTATTCAAAAGCGTTCATGAATTATAATAATAATTTTTTGGGATAGTGCACTTTCTCGTGAATTTTCAAAAAATGGGGATGACAGTTAAGGGGTTAATATAACACAAATTGTAGCCTTTAAATTCTGTCAATTTGATCACAAAATACAAACAATATATGTGTTTTTCCACTCTTTAATGTGGCGTGAGATAATTATTCGCTTCAGTTCATATGCCATGAATCAATCATCTTTTCCTCTTTTCAGAAATAAACATGAATGAATATCAGAAGACATGTTTAAAAAAAATCATAACAACGAATGCCTCATGTAATCGATCAATCAGTGTTTTGAAAATCGTCAATAATAGTCATTACAGTCGTAACATAACATTTACCTCAGAAACGACAAAATATAACTTTGCCAACATTGTTTTATTATTTTCATAAATCAGTCAGTTAACTGCCACAGACTTTTTTTTAGTAGGTTTTGAATTAACTTTATTCACGCAATATAACTTTAATCTCATAATTTTTTACTTTTTTCTAAAAATATTATGGCACTAAACGCTGCCATATTTACTAAATTAGGCTACTTAATGCAAACACACTCTTGGCACAGCGGCCCAAAACGCAAAAAGAGGAAAAAACAAAAACACAAAACTACTCACATTTTAGTTGTAATTAATTTTCATTTAATTTAATTCTCTGGGCCTTTCTCTCGGCAAATTCATCCACAATGTCCTTGGTGTTTTTTAAGGCTTTGTGTATACTCGAAAATAATTTCTACTTTCGATAGTGTTTCGATAAAAGAGAATTAAAATGAAAGAAAGAGAATTAAAACTGTACAGGTGTTGCTGAAGATAGATGTGATACAGCCTTTTCAACTAGCTAGATACCAACTTCACACAGATTTTTTTATTTTTATTATTAACCTATTTTATTTGGCCGTGGCAATGCAGTGCTTGCGTGTAGTTTTAGAAAATGCGCGCAGTTCTGCAGTCCTTTGGGAATTTGCCGCTGGCTCTTCTGTAGACGGTGTTACGTGAGGTATAATTTATTTTGGTTTTATTAAATGGGCAATCTTTGGTCTGATTAGTCTATTACTTGTTCCAAAGCAAAAGTTCTACGGCATATTTATTGTGGCCACTAATTAAGAATACGTTCTCTCGTTTTAATTAAAAGGTCCCCCTCGGCGGGCCCCCAATCAGCCCCGGCCCATATGCACGTGCATACCCTGCATACCCAGATGCTACGCCCCTGCCTCTGATCACAACTAGGGATGCTCCGATCGATCGGCCGGAGATCGGTATCGGCCGATAATCACATTTTATGACTCGATCGGTACTCACTAACGGATCGCAATTTGATGACGTCAATGTGTGACGACGTACATGATGCGTGGGTACATAAATGATTTGGTGCCACAGTCATGTCATCACTGGTGTGGAAATGCTATGACGTTTCAACAAAAACAACGACGTTTCACGAAACAATGAAAAATTTGCTATTTGTCGTGCATGTTTTGCATGATGATATGATAAATAGATGGTTCATTTTTAACAGCAGATTCACTGCACACGTCTGCGGCGCATTACGGCTCCACGGCTACCGGAGCTGATCGCGGCCGCTCTAGTCAATGCTTGTGTTTATCAGCCAGCCGTGGCACGTTTCTGAAGCGGCTCTCCGCGCTGCTTGGCTAAAAATAGTATTTTTTGAGTTGTCACAGCGTGGAGGACGGAACAAAACCTTGTCGGAGCCGTAAGGGATAACGGTAACATAATACGCTGATCGTGGGCTGCTTTTAAATGAACATTTA